TTTCTGAAAACCTAAATATGCCACATCTATCAACCCTCCTTTATCTCTGCTGCTATTTACATCCTCAAAAAGCTTAAACATTCTCTTAAACATATTTTCATTTCATAATAGATTCCAGCACTTTCCCAATGCTAACGTCCAACCAACTGGCTTGTAAATTCTTGTTTTCTCTTTTTATCCCTTCTTGAACAGCAATGTTACATTTGCTAATTTCCAACCTACTGGGACTATTCCTCACTATCTTCTCAAGAGCAATAAATGATGGCCAAGCCATCGAAGCCTAAATCCAATCACTGATTTTTTTAAAAAGAATATACAGAATTTTGGAAAATCATAGCCAATACATCCTCTATCTCTGTAACTATCTCTTTTGGAGCCCTAGGATGTAGGCCATCAGGTCCTGGGGATGTCAGATTTTAGTCTAGGTCTACTAAGGAACAAATATTACTTAGTTACTCTTTACCTTTTCATACACTTCTAAAAACTCTTACTATTGTTTACAAGATTTTTGAGAAGTTTACTCTCATACTCTAATCTTTCACCTTTCATCAACAAGTTTGTGGCCACTTGTCGGTCTCCAAATTACTTCAATTCTTCAATTTTATTACTATTCTTTTCCAGATTATGAAGTTTTACTTTAACCTTATACTATCTCAGTAATCTATGGATATATCTTCCTTGGTTTAGCTTTTAGTTTTAGTTTTTCAGTGAGATATTTTTGCTGGATATTTTGAATTGTTTCTTTAAATGTTTGCTACTGTTTACAACCATAGTTTTTGTCTATTTTTCCAATCAACCTAGCTAGCTCTCCCCTTAGACCTTTGCAAACTCCAATACTCTCTGGTTCAATGTGTGATATAACTACTATTAGTTGTCCTATAAACTCATCCCACAAGCATTTTCTGATCCTTGCTATTCCTAATCTCCACCCATGCTGATTTACATACAGATTTTCTAAGGCAAGATACTTTTGCCAATAATGTCCTTATATCATATTTTATTATCAGGGCTATCCCTCTTCCTTTTCCACTCTGGTTTGTCTTTTCAAAGTGTTGTGTATTCTGGAATATTTATTTCCCAACTTTGGTCACCTTTTAACCACAGGCAGAATCATTTGTTCTCGCTGATGACAAGCTTGGAGTCAGGAAGAGTATGTAATTAGCAAATGGTGGAGTGCCAGAATCTTGTTGCCTTCTCACCTCTACTGGAAATAAGTTCTGGTTGGGAAGGCCTACAGTTGATCTTCATGTTTTACTCTCATTTGAGACCTTTAATGTTCAATTAATGACAACTTAAGGATCTTATGCTATCACTTGCAGACTTACTGTCATGCAGCTAAAATCTTTTATCCCCTCAGTGCCTCAATGACAGACCAGAGATTGAGAAGGAGTGAGGCCAGCAGCAATCACACCCACACCCTTGCTGCCAACCTTTGCTGCCCTCCCTCTGTGACAGGCACCTCAGCCCAAGATTACCTACTAGTCTGAAAACAACAAATGCTGAAGATCACAGCAGATCAGGCAGCATCCATGGAGAGAAAGCAAGCTAACATTTCGAGTCTAGATGACTCTTCATCGGAGTTGTGATTCTAAAACAGATATGCAGCAGCTCTGTTCGGGATGAGATAGCTTAATAAAGTGCACTGTTGCCAATAGCTGAATAAATCAACAGTGAGCGGCAATGTTTCCCACAAACGTCACACATGAAATGGATATCAAGTGTCAAGTGGATTGTAACTTTCATTGATGCTGCTGGCTGCTTAGCAGCTGTAGCCACTGATCATTGTGGTAGTGTACATCCTCCAAAAGCTGATGTTACCATTTCCCTCCTTGGTTGGCTGGTGTCTCCCAGGAATGAAAACTGAAATCTGGGAGTTTCATATCATACTTCCAAGCACATCCATGAAACTTTGGTATACCATTCTTCTTCTAGCTCTGGCTACCACATCATGCAGAAAACCCCTGGATATATTTGGAACTCAATCACTAACAGCGTTGTGGAGGTAGCTATTGCAAAAGGATTGAAGCAGTTCAAGAAGGTAACTCAATATCACTTTCTCAAAAGACAATTAGGAATGGGTAATAATTGCTAGCCCAGCATTGATGACCACTTTCTATAAATAAAAATTTAAAAAGCTCATGTAGTTGCCCTTATTTAGGTTTAAAACACTAGTCTTAGACACAGTATTTTGCCTTTCAAATGGAATGTAAAATTCAATCATATTATGTTAGTTGCTATCAAGGGATGCATTTAATTTGAATTATTAAATAATCTTGTCACATTACACAATAACAATTGAAATACAAGCTGCTCTCTGGTTGGTTCTATAATGTGTTGCTCTAAGGAACTGTCTTGAAAGCATTTTATAAACTCTGCATCCAGACTGCTACTGTCAATCTGATTTTTCCAGTTAATAACGTAGATTAAAGTCATTTATAATTATTGCTATCCCTTTATCACATGCACCCAATATTTCTTCAGATAGCTACAGAGATAGAGGATGTATTGGCTATAATTTTCCAAAATTCTGTATATTCTTTTTAAGAAAATCAGTGATTGGATTTAGGTTTCAATGGCTTGGCCATCATTTCTTGTACACTTTGCCCCACATTGTGGTTACTGTTTGGGGGCCTGTAGACCACTGCCACTCCGACTGCCTGTCAAAGTGTCCTTTCCTTGCCTATTTCAATAGGCAATGTTGGCTGCCAGTCTTGAGGTCCTCCTGTCACCTGTTCCTCAAGCCCATATTCACTGCCTATCGCAGGATGTTATTTTCCTTTCCTCTAGAAGGTGGGGACTCCCTGTTTCAGGGTTTTTCTCTGTCCTGCTCTTCTAGCTGATGCTGCCTGCCTACCTTCGGGTCATAGCAGCCTACTCCTCTTATTCAGTCATAGTCATAGTGATATACAGCATGGAAACAGACCTTTTGGTACAACTTATCCATGTAATCAGATATCCTAAATTAATCTAGTCCCATCTGCCAGCTTTTGGGCCATATCCTTCTAAACCCTTCCTATTCATGAAACCACCAAGGTGACTTTTAAATGTAATTGTACCCGTGCCCACCACTTCATCTGGCAGCTCATTCCATACACGCACCACCCTCTGCATGAAATGGTTGCCCCTTAGGTCCCTTTTACATCTTTCCCCTCTCACCTTAAACCTATGCCCTCTAGTTTTGGACTCCCCTACCCTGGGAAAAAGACCTTGGCTGTTCACCCTATCCATGTCCCTCATGATTTTACAAACCTCTATAAGGTCAACCCTCAGCCTTCAATGTTCCAGGGAAAATAGCCCCAGCCTATTTACCCTATCCCTATAGCTCAAACCCTCCAGTCCTGGCAACATCCTTGCTAAGAGGTAGTAAGGACTGCAGATGCTGGAGTCAGAGATAACACAGTGCGTGGAGCTGGAAGAACACAGCAGGTCAGGCAGCATCTGAGGAGCAGGAATGTTGATGTTTTGGATCGGGACGCTTCTTCAGAAAAAGGGTCCCAACCCAAAACGTCAACTTTCCTGTTCCTCTGATGCTGCCTGGCCTGCTGTGTTCCTCCAGCTCCACACTGTGGTATCTGAACATCCTTGTAAGTCTTTTCTGCACCCTTTCAAGTTTCACAACATCTTTCCTATAACGGGGAGATCAGAATTAAATGCAATATTCCAAAAGTGGCCTCACCAATGTCCTGTACAGCCACAACATGATGTCACAACTCCTATAGTCAATGCATGACCAATAAAGGCAAGTGTACCAAACACCTTCTTCAATACCCTGTTAACCTGTGACTCCACCTTCAAAGAACTATGAACCTGCACCCCAAGGTCTCTTTGTTTGGCTACACTCCCCATGACCCTACCCTTAAATGTATAAGTCCTGCCCTGATTGCTTTGGGCAGACATTTATTGCTTTGAAGAGATTATCAGAAAACTTCTCTTGTCAGGCAATGTCAAGATTTATAAGGAAACCATAAGTCTCTACAGCAAGGTGGTTTGAAAATTAAGGCTTATGTTATATCCTAGATTTATTTTTGGATTGTATTGTATTTTGTTTGCATTGTAAACAGCTTTAAGGAATACTTTAGTGTAATGTGATTCAATTATTTTACTTCTAATTTATTTCTAAGGCAACCTTGTATTCAGTTTTGCACTCAGAATCTGCAAGTCTCATAGTCAGAGCCGCCTCCTTTAAAATGTAGATGAACAATTCACTATTGGACTCAGTACTTTTTCTGAAATCAATACTTTAGCAGCATTATGGCAACTATCCTATTATTATAAACCCTTGATTTAATCCTATTATTATAAAACCTTGATTTCATGCAATTTCAACCATCAAATATAGTAAGATTGTCTGCTAGCAATTAATATTGGAAATGTAAGACCAAAAGAGGGGTGCGAGGTAGCTTAGTTAATTAGATATCTTACATGTGGTTCAGTAAAATGACAACAGCATGAGTTTTGATCCCTGTTCTGCCTGAGGTACACTTGAGGCCAGTTTCCTTGTCCTGCCCTGCAGTAAAATCATGGCATAAATTATGGTTTGATGATCCTCAAAAAATCAAGGAAGCTGCATGGAGAATAGGAAGCAAACCAATGAGATTGCTTTCTACCATCATTGTAGCTGCATGACAGAACAATAATGAGAGTTGTTGATTAACTACAGCAATCAAACTTTATAAATTAATAACCAGCAGAACAAGACGTGAGATAAGAAAACCTCCAGTGGTGGAAAGTTTTGAGAAATAGAAATACACAGTCACCTGCTCCTGCCAATTATACTGAACTTATCATATCTGATCTCAAATACTGTATCACAAAATATCATTTTCTAAAATCAATCTAATCTGCATTTGAGTAAATCAATGCTAAGTGATTCATGCTTCCCTTGGGAATCGGCTTAATAGATTTACAACATGTTCACAATAGCACTCACTGAACACATTATTTTATTACGTTTGATACATAAATTTTCTGTAGAAAGAGATCAGGAGTGATATACTTACAATGCATCATCAGCACTGTCTGCACTAAGTGCCAGTTTTGAACCATCCCTTAGGTAAATCATCAGCATACATTCTCTACTGCTTTGTTCTGGTGGCAAGCCCTCTGTAAAAGGTAAATAGTAACAAAAAATCACAAGCAAGGAAAAAATAGAATCATGTACCCTGTTACTGCTTAGCTATTTGGATATCAGTTTTACAAAATAACTTTATTAGAAAGCTAATCAGGGCTTGTTTAAATAATTTAAGTGCCAGGATACATGAGTTTACATCCTATTTATGTTTGTGCTAAATTCTGCTGTAAGTAAAGTTGGGCGCAACATGCACATACCTTAGCTCAGGTGTGAACCTGTAAATGATTAATTTAACACCCAGAAAACATCACCAGTCCCAAACGGTCATCTCTACCTTGTGGTCCACTCAACAAACCTATATACTATGGATAATATCTTAGAATTTTTGTTTATTTTATACATTTCTTTGACTTTCTCCCTATTATGATATTTGGAGGAATGCCATGGAATAGGTCATCCCTATTGTTTTTAAAACTGCTTAGAAAAAAGTGCAAGATTTTGCCTATCAATTCAATTTCTTCCTACAAATGCTGCAATGTTCAGCAATATCTAGTTGAGAGCCTTTGCTTTGAAGTAGGGGGAATAACATGAAGTTGTTGTGTTTGCTGATAGATATACACTAAAATCATCATGAGATAGAAACAAATTTATGTTAAATTCTCCTGCCTAGCAACTTGAACTGTTGGAATCCAGGTGTGAATACAGTTGCTCTCTCAAGTTCAAAAAATTTTGTAAACAGATTTATACTCTGAGCCAAGCTATTCCAGTATAGCTACAATGCTAACATTTATGGTACGGAAGAAGGCTATATGGTCCATTGTACTTACACCGACTCTTCAAATGCCTTCAAATTCAATTTCCTTTGAAATAAAGGTCAATATTCCATTTGCTTTCCCTATTGCCTGCTGAACTTGAATGCTAGATTTTTGATTTATGCATGAGGGCTCCAAAAACCCACTGTTCTTAACTTTCTATAGTCTTTCTTGATTTAAGCAATATTCAGCTCCTCTATTCTTCCTGCCAAAGTGCATAACCTCACACTTTCCCACATCATGTTCAATCTGCCAAGTTTTTTGCTCACATGCTTAACCTGTCCAGATCTCTCTGCAGACTGTGCTATCCTGAAACATAGCTACAGTACATTCACTTTCCTCAACCAAGTTTTTATATATGTTATAAATAATCATGGCCGCAGCATTGATCCTTGCTGTATTCCAGTAGTTACAAGTTGCCACCCTGAAAATGACCCCCTTATCCAAACACACTGTCTTTTAGACAGAAGGAAACTCTGTCACTGGAATCATTCAAAATTAATGATGAAGATCTTTTGGATGATTGTTGTCACTTAAAGTTCACAAGGCACTGAGACTGGATAAGATGCATCCTACAATTTTGAAGGCAGTGAGGGTAAAAATTGTAGGGACGCTACCCATAAACTTTAAGTTTTTGCTGAACTCGGGGGAGGTGCTTGAAGACTGGAAAATTACAAACATTGTGACCTTGATCAAAAAAGATTGTAAGGATAATCCCAGCAATGACAGACCAGTCAGTTTAACTTCAGTGATGGGGAAACTTCTGGGAACAATTATTCAGAATAGAATTAGGTATCACATGGAAAAAGTGTGAAATAAGAGAACAAAGAAGAGAAAATTACAGCACAGGAACAGGCCCTTCAGCCCTCCAAGCCTGCGCCAATCCAGATCCTCTATCTAAACCTGTCACCTATTTTCCAAGGATCTGTATCCCTTTGCTCCCTGCCCATTCATGTATCTGTCTAGATACATCTTAAATGACGCTATCGTGCCCGCCTCTATCACCTCCGCTGGCAACGCGTTCCAGGCATCCACCACCCTCTGCATAAAGAACTTTCCACGCATATCTCCCTTAAACTTTTCCCCTCTCACCTTGAAATCGTGACCCCTAGTAATTGAGTCCCCCACTCTGGGAAAAAGCTTCTTGCTCTCCACCCTGTCTATACCTCTCATGATTTTGTAGACCTCAATCAGGTCCCTGCTCAATCTCCGTCTTTCTAATGTAAATAATCCTAATTTACTCAACCTCTCTTCATAGCTAGCACCCTCCATACCAGGCAACAACCTGGTGAGCCTCCTCTGCACCATCTCCAAAGCATCCACATCCGCAGTATTCCAAATGTGGCCGAACCAAAGTCCTATACAACTGTAACATGACCTGCCAACTCTTGTACTCAATACACTGTCCGATGAATGAAAGCATGTCATATGCCTTCTTGACCACTCTATCGATCTGCGTTGCCACCTTCAGGGTACAATGGACCTGAACACCCAGATTTCTCTGTGCATCAATTTTCCCCAGGGCTTTTCCATTTACCACATAGTTTGCTCTTGAATTGGATCTTCCAAAATGCATCACCTCGCATTTGCCTGGATTGAACTCCATCTGCCATTTCTCCGCCCAACTCTCCAATCTATCTATATTCTGCTGCATTCTCCAACAGTCCCCTTCACTATCTGCTACTCCACCAATCTTAGTGTCATCTGCAAACTTGCTAATCAGACCATCTATACCTTCCTCCAGATCATTTATGCATATCACAAACAACAGTGGTTCCAACACGGATCCCCGTGGAGCACCATTGGTCACAGTTCTCCATTTTGAGAAACTCCCTTCCACTTCAACTCTCTGTCTCTTGTTGCCCAGCCAGTTCTCTATCCATCTGGCTAGTACACCCTGGACCCCATGTGATTTCACTTTCTCCATCAGCCTACCATGGGGAACCTTATCAAACACCTTACTGAAGTCCATGTATATGACATCTACAGCCCTTCCCTCATCTATCAACTTTGTCACTTCTTCAAAGAATTCTATCAAGTTGGTAAGACATGACCTTCCCTGCACAAAACGATGCTGCCTATCACTAATAAGCCCATTTTCTTCCAAATGTAAATAGATCCTATCCCTCAGTATCTTCTCCAGCAGCTTCCCCACCACTGACATCAGGCTCACTGGTCTATAATTACCTGGAATATCCTCGCTACCCTTCTTAAACAAGGGGACAACATTAGCAATTCTCCAGTCCTCCAGGACCTCACCCGTGCTCAAGGATGCTGCAAAGATATCTGTTAAGGCCCCAGCTATTTCCTCTCTCGCTTCCCTCACAACCTGGGATAGATCCCATCCGGACCTGGGGACTTGTCCACCCTAATGCCTTTTAGAATACCCAACACTTCCCCCCTCCTTATGCTGACTTGAGCTAGAGTAATCAAATATCCCTAACCTCAACATCCGTCATGTCCTTCTCCTCAGTGAATACCGACGCAAGTACTCATTAAGAATCTCACTCATTTTCTCTGACTCCTCGCATGACTTCCCTCCTTTGTCCTTGAGTGGGCTAACCCTCTCTCTAGTTATCCTCTTGCTCCTCATGAATGAATAAAAGGCTTTGGGATTTTCCTTAACCCTGTATGGGTTGATTAAGACTCAGCATGGATTTCTCATATTTTTATATTTTTATTTAATATTTTCATATTTTTATTTAATTAACTTGTTGCAGGTTTCTGAAGTAATGGATAAGTTCAATGAGGGGTAGTGCAGTTGATGAGGTTATGCATGGATTACTTTGATACAATGCCACACAACAGACCTATGAGGAAGGATACAGGTCATGGTATAAAGAGAAAATTGCAATGTGGATACAAAATTGGCCATCGGAGAAAATGGAGAGTAATGGTCAATGGATTTTTTTTGGGCTGTTTATACTTGAGTTCCCCAGGGGTCGATGTTGGGACTATTGTTTTTCCTGATATGTATATTAATGCTCTCGAACATTGTTGACAGGAGAAAATTTCAAAGTTTGAAATTTTAATTCATTGAAAGGCTGGAGTGAAAAATCTGTCTAATGGCAATCAAATAACCACTTTCAATTGTCATAAAACCCATCTGGTTCAATTATGTCCTTTTGGGAAGGAAACTGCTGTCTTTAATCTGGCCAATATGTGACTCCAAACCAACAGCAATGTAGATTACTCTTAACTGCCCTTTGGGCAGAAATGCTGGTCTAGCCCCATGAATGACTTTAAAAAACAAAAACTGGCCTTGCCAGTGATGCTGATATCTTGCGAAAGAGTTTTGAACAGTCATTTTAAATTGTTTGTGCAGATATTTATTCTGATGTCGTTTTTTTCACTTTAAAAGGTGAGATACTGTGAGCATCCAATAGGTACAAAGCAAGTGAATGCTAAGAGAGCAAGCTAAGGGGCCTAAGATTGTACCCTCTTCATAGAATCACACAGTAAAAAAGTGGCCATTCAGCCCATTGAGTCTATACCACCAAAAATACACTACTACCTACACTAGTCCCACTTAGCAGCACTAGGGCCATAGCCTTAAATGTTATGATACTTGAAGTGTTTGTCTAAGTACATTTTGAAGGTTGTGAGGTTACCAACCTCAACTTCCCTCCCAGGCAGTGCATTTCAGACCCCATCATCCTCTAGGTGAAAAAATATTTCCTCAAATCCCCCCTTAACTTCCTGCCTTTCACTTTAAAAGTGTGCCCCTTTTTTTTGACCCTTCAACTAATCATGATCATGTTTTGATCATGAAATGATGTGGAGGTGCTGGTGTTGGACTGGGTGGACAAAGTCAGAAATCACACGACACCAGGTTATAGTCCAACAGGTTTATTTGAAAACACAAGTTTTCGGAGCCTCAGTCCTTCTTCAGATGTTAGTGAGAGAGCTAGTATCAGACAGAGAATTTATAAGTAAAAGATCAAAAATTCACACCATTGATGAGGATGTACTAAACAAACCTAAGATGTTGTTAAATCTTTAATCAGTTAGAAGGTTTTAATTGATTAATATGTATATGTAAATCCACAAAATCCTTTTGAGTCACAGTCCTGAGAAAACTAAAGGTTTTATCAGTGTAAAGAAGAGGTGACATTTTAGGTCAGACAATGCATGTTAGGTGAGAGATGTTGTTTAGAATCTGTTTGTGTTTTGGTTTGGAGTTTTATAAAACGCCATATTGACTGACTGTCTATAAATCG